CCACAGAGACGCAGAGTCTGTTCCCCGCCCCCCCACCCCGGGACCTAGTAGTCCTGGTCCCCAGCCCCGGCCCATCTCAAGATCCCAGGGTCATACCTGGGCGTGGAGGACCTCAGGGTCCCCTTTGGGGAAGAAACGCTTGATCCGATCGTGGGCTTCACCTCTCCTGACTCCCCCACTCCCCGGAGCCAGGGTGTCTTCCAGGGTCTCTGCCAGGCAGTCAGCAGCACCCCCAGAGCCAGCCACCAAGAGGCAGGGGAGCTGAGCCTCGGTGGCATCCTCAATCCGCTAGAGGACGCGGGGACAGCGGGTCAGGGCAGGCAGGGTGTCCAGTCCCTCCTTCCCTAAGACTCAGGCCCCAGGAGCCTGGCCCCTAACTCGGCTCCGCCTCAGCCACTGCACTGTACCTTCAGCATCTTCTCGTCACCGTCGATCAGGAGGAGCAGCACTGGGATGTCGATTCCCGTCCCTGGGAGAGGAGAGCCAGGCTGGTGACTTCCCATCCACCTTTGCTGGGGACGGGGAGAGCCACATTTCCCAGGATCCCCTGAGGCAAACATCAGCCCCCTCCCAGCCCCGTGTCTGGGGCTCACGGGAACTGACCCCTCTTTTCACACTGTGGGGAGAGGCCAGAGTTTGAAGACAGTGATGCTTAAATTCCCAAGGAAGGAGAGGCTTGGGAACTGGGCTCCTGGGCCCCGAATGACCCAGATATTTCTTGTATGAGTCAATCTTACAATTGATTCACCACTCAGAAACCAGATGAGGTGAGAGTTCAAGTAGAAAATGAAGGAAATACAAATACAGAGGACTACTGGAGCACAATAAAGATACTTATCAAAGTCCAATAGCAATTTCATGCCATGGTTTTATACTAACTCTCTTCTCATTAAAATAATAAACTAGTCTGTATTACCATCACTCATACTCCCTCATCCTGGAGTTCGGAACTGATATAATGATGTAATAAAGTGCAATAACTAGCTGGGAGTGGTAATATTGCCCATAATCCCAGCAATTAGGGAGGCTGAGGCAGGAGGATCGAAAGTAGGAGGCCAGCCTCAGCGATTTAGCAAGGCCTTAAGCAACTCAGTGAGAACTTGTCTCAAAAGAAAAAATTAAAAATGACTGAGCATGTAAAGCATCCCTGGGTTCAATCCCCAGTGCCAAAAAGAAAAAAAAAAAATAAGAAGAAAGAAAAGAAAGTGAAATGACTGAAATCAAAACTGGTATTTTTTTCTTAAAGCTGGAAGAGACAGAGTTTATCTATTTGAAGAAAATATGGTTTATGTCCTTAAAAACTTGGAAGACTCTACCAAAAAAATAAAAATTAAAAAATATTGGGTTTGGGGTTGTGGCTAGTGGTACAGCACTTGCCTAGTATGTGTGAGGCACTGGATTTGATTCTCAGTGCCACATATAAATAAATAAATAAAGGTACATCAACAGTTAAAAAAAATATTAATAAGAATCTGGCAAGATTGATAGAAAAGATACACAAAAATAAAAGAACTTTTCCTCAAATTATTTATAATCTATATCTGGTTCTGATATAAACTATAATATATCTGGGAATTATTTCATCCGAAAAAGTACAGAATTGTTATGAGGAAATTTATAAATCTTATTTAAGGACAAGATCTGAATAAATGAAAAAACTAACATCAATTTAACCTGTTATAAATTAACACATAAATTCATTGAGGTTTGGGAAAAGTAGGGGGTGGCTAGGAGAAGTGTGGCCTCAAACCTGCAATCCTCCTGCCTCAGCCTCCCAAGTCACTGGAATTACTGGTGTGCACCACTGCACCCAGCATAAATGTTTGAGAAAGGACATTCAGGAGGAACTGTCCTAACATCTACAGCATTAAAACATCTTTAAACCGCTCTAATCAAAACATAGTTTAAGCATAAGAAGAGACAGAGGGGTGGGAAGGAAGAGCTCTCACATAAAGGAAGTCAGTGTGTAACCATGGCTTCCCAGTTCTGCTGGGAAAGGAGGATTTACATATATATATAGTTGTCAATGGACCTTTATTTTATCTATTTTCATGCGGTGCTGAGAGTCAAACCCAGGCCCTCAGACTTTCTACGCAAGGGCTCTACCGCTGAGCTACAACTCCAGCCCCCTCATGCACTGTGGATGAGTGAAAATTGCTGCAAATTTTTAGTCCCGCGGTACTATCTATTGAAATCCACACCCAGCAATCCCCCTTGAATCTAAAACACCCCTATGTAAGGTTGTCCATTTAAAGATTTCTCCAGCATTATTCCTAGTGCCTAACACGAGTAAAACCTTAAGTATCTCTCAACTGGAAATTTTTTTGAAAAAATAGATGACACATCCTTACTAAGGAATATCATCAATTATTAGAAGAAGCAGCAAGATGAAGAAATTTGGACCTAAAGAATGCTCACGAGGGCTGGGTGCGGTGGTGCTCACATGTAATCCCAGCAGCTCAGAACGCTGAGGCAGGGGGATTGCAAGTTCAAAGCCGGCCTCAGCAAAAGCAAGGCACTAAGCAAATCAGTGAGACCCTGTCTCTAATAAGATACAAAATAGGGCTGGGATGTGGCTCAGTGGTGGAGTGCCCCTGAGTTCAATCCCCAGTCCTGCCCCCCCCCCACCAAAAAAGGATGTTTGTGAAAGCCTGGGCGCAGAACATGCCCGTAATCCCAGGGACACAGGAGGCTGAGGCAGAACCCAGGGGTATTTAACCACCAAGCCACATCCCAGCCCTTTTTATCTTTTTATTTTGAGACAGGTCTTACCGAGTTGCTTAGGGCCTCACTAACTTGCAAAGGCTGGCTTCGAATTTGTGATCCTCCTGCCTCAGCCTCCTGAGCCACTGGGATTACAGGCATGAGCCACGATGCCCGGCAGGAAGATTGTTAAATGCCAAGCCAGCCTCAGCAACTGAGTGAGACCCTGTCTAAAAATAAAAGAAAAATAAAAAGTTCTGGGGTATAGCTTAGGGGTAAAGTGCCCCTGGATTCAATCCCCAGTACTCCCCCCACACACACACACACAAAGAACAAGAAAGAAATACCATATAGATGGAAATATAATGGCGTAGAATTTTATAACAGAGAAAGTTACAAAAGGGTCAACTCCAAACTACAGAACACTGATTATCCCCAGTGTAGGGAGAGGGGGACCTGGGAGAGGAAGATAATTAATTATTTCTTTATATGCCTTTTTAAAAAAATTTTTAGTTGTCATTGGACCTTTATTTTATTAATTTATCTGTGGTGCTGAAAATCCAATCCAGTGCCTCACACAAGTAGGCAAGCGCTCTGCCACTGAGCCACAACCCCAGCCCTTTACAGGCCTTTTTCTGATTTGTTTGGATGAGAGCACATTAAAGTTGCCATAATACCTTACACTGAGTAAACCAAGCCAGTACCAAAAGGTTACATCGTATGTCAATTTTTTCTTTGTACGCCTTTTTATGGTTTGATGTGTTTCCCCAGGCACATACTAAAGTCGCCTTCAGACCTTAAGTAAAGACAACCAGTACCAAAAGGTCACATATCACGTTACAGGCTGAGTACCCCTCATCCAGAAGTCTGAAACCTAAAATGTTCCAAAATCTGAAACATTGTGAGTGATTCCATCATGATTCCATCATGCTCAAAAAGGTTTGAATCATGGATCATTTTGGATTTCAAAATTTCCTGTTTGCAAATATTCCAAAATCTGAAAATCTCCAAAACTGGAAACATTGTGAGTCCCAAGTATTTCCAATAAGGGTTCCTAAACCTGTCCTTCATTTATATGCGCTCCTCACAAAGACAAAACCATAGTGAACACAGCACGGTCGCCTGGGTTAGACATACAAAGGGAATTCCTTCGAGGTAACAGAACCCGTCTGTGTTCCTTTTGTGGTCATGGATACATGGCTCCATTCACCTGCTAACATTCATAAAATGCCACCCAACAAAGTCACTTTTACTACCATATGCTAACTTAAAAAGTAAGGTTAATATTGAGTACAGAGAGATATTTTAAGAATTAAGTTAAGGGGCTGGGATACAGGTCAGTTGGGAGAGTGCTTGCCTCACGTGCATAAGGTCCTGGGTTCAATGCCCAGCACCACACACAAAAAAATCAAGTTAATTGGGGCTGGGATGCAGCTAAGCAGTAGAGCTCTGGCCCAGCATGAGACAGACCCAGTCTTACCCCAGCACCAATGCACACCCAAACAAGTTTACCAAGGTCTTGCTGTTTCATTCACTTTGTTGATTTTTCTCCACAATACCTGGGTTCCTATTTTATTAATTCCTGCCTTCAGTTTATTATTTCCTAGCTTCCTGGGATTGGAGCTGCTATTCTGGTTCTGGGGGAAAAGAGGTTTATGTTTGTTTTTCTAATTTGGGAGCTTAGATCACTGATTTTCAGCCTTTTCTCTTTTCAACATATGCATTGAAAGCTATGAATTTTACTCTAAATGCGGCTTTTCCTGCATCCCATCAGCATGGGTATGTCATGAGCTCATCATCACTCAGTTTAAAAAAAAAAATACTCCCCTGGGCCTGGAAGTGTGGCTCAGTGGTAAAGCACTTGCCCAACAGGCACAAGGGCCTGGGGTGGTCCCCGTGACTGTCTGTTATTAGTACGGGGCTGGTGATGACCCTTGAGGGAGACAAGAGAAAAAATTGGGGGCTGATAAAAGTCTGCTTTTCTCTTTCCTTCCTTCCTCTCCCACCCTACACTGGGGATTGAACCCAGGGGCCTCTTCCACAGCCTCCACACCCCCAACCCTTTTTATTTTTTATTTTGAGCAAGGTTCCACTAAATTGCTGAGGCTGGCCCCAAACTTTCCATCCTCCTGCCTCAGCCTCCTGAGTTGTTGAGATTAAAGATAAGTGTCACCACACCCAGCAAGATTCTTCTGATATTTATTTTTTACTTGTAGTTGGACACAATTTATTTACTTATATGTGGGGCCGAGGAGGGAACCCAGGGCCTCGCACGTGCTAGGCAAGCGCTCTGCTGCTGAGCCAGCCCCAGCCCGCCCCAGATTTTGATCACTGGGATCCTGAGCATTGGCCACGGGGTCACAGATCCCAAAAGTCACTCACCTCCCACCCCGGTCTTCTGCCGCGACACGTAGGTCTCAAACCGCAGGCGGAATCGGTCCTCCCCGCCCAGGCGACCGTGGGTGCCATCGTCCACCAGGAAGAAGGCCGAGTAATTGTAGTCCAGGGGAAACTCGACCCCATCTTCAGGGTCACCGTGCCACCGGTACTTGGCAGGGAACGAGCCCTGGGGGACAGACAGACAGACCAGTGAGCCTTTCTGGGGGGACAGCACCACTCTGTGTCCTCATGGCCCAGGGTCCCAGCCCCAAGCCCTCCACCTTTTTTCGGACCCAGGGCTGTACCTTGGGGTCGGTGAGGGAGTCTCTATTCCGAACCACACCCCAGGGGGCCACTCCCATGGCCACCACGTTGGTGCCCCCCGTGCTGGCCGTCTGGTGGTCCCGCACAGCCACGCCAACGTGCCGGCCGATGCCTGTGTGCAGCCCCCCGGTGACGATCCAGGCCCCTACACACAGAGAAAGACACGTAGAGACAGGGAGGAAAACAGCACGTCACATGGCCACATAAAAACTGGAGGTGGGCAGAATCCAGAGAGGCCGCGAGACGGCCGTGGGCCCATGCCCTGGAGACACGGCCCGCCCACCCTTGGTCACCTGTGCTCTGGGCAGCCCGGACCAGGCCACGTCGCAGCAGGTCCTGCAGCCAGGTCTGGAGGACAGGGCCACTTGAACCCCCCAGCACTGACACCACCAGGTTCGGAGCTTGAAAGCCCCACGCCCGGGTGACCAGGCTATAGACTGTCGCCGGATCCGTACGGTCAGAGAGCCGGAGGAACTGTGGACACACAGGAGGAAGGGACGTGGGGAAGGTGACAGAGACAGAGGAGGACAGACACCCAGAAAGACAAGGACGGACACCCAAAGAGGGAGGGACCGAGACCCAGAGATAGAGGACAGAGACCCAGAGACGGAGGACAGAGACCCAGAGACAGAGGACAGAGACCCAGAGACAGAGGACAGAGACCCAGAGACAGAGGACAGAGACCCGGAGACGGAGGACAGAGACCCGGAGACGGAGGACAGAGACCCAGAGACAGAGGACAGAGTCTCAGCACCAGGGGACAGAGGTGGAGAAAGGGCCAGTGGAGACGCAGCCTTCAGCTTGGGCCGCCCAGACCCCGGGGCCCCAGGCAGGCTCAGCCCCCGCCCCGCCCAGGCATGCAGGCCTCACGTTGCTAGTCCTGCGACCGGCGCCCTGGAAGTCCAGGTCCCCATAGGCGTCAGTGGGCTTCTCTGTGGTGTGCACGTCACTGTCCCACACGGTCACCACGGCCGCGCCAAATGCATCCTCCACAGCCACTGAGGGGTGGGCACTCCGGGGACGCCCACACTGGCATAAGGTCCCTCTGGGGGTGTGAAGGTGCAGCGTGAACCCGAGGAATCCCCCGACCCCAGCACCCTGCAGACGTGTCCAGATTTCTGTATTGACCTGTGTCCCCAGAGGCGGTCAGAATCCACACTGACCCTGGCACTGGCTCCAACCGCCTGAGTGAGAGACTCAGGCAGGGACAGTCACCTCTCCCCACCAGAAGGAAGCCACAAGTAAACTCAAGTAGGGAGGTTGACAGGGCCCCACTCTCACTGTGACCCGGAGGGCCAGAAGGGAAAAGCAAAGGCATCCATCAGGGGGAATACCCAGCCCCCAGTCCAAACGGATGATGTTCACCATGAAAAGGAAGATTTGAAAAAGAAGAAGAAATTTTTTTTAAAAAATAGAAAAATCCAGAGAGTAATTCAGAAACAAGCTCATGTGCTCGAGGCTGAGGCAGCTGTGTGACTTTGGGCAGGTGGCTTCACTTCTCTGAGCCTAAATTTCCTCCTCGAATGAAAAGACAATAATAGCACAGCCTACTCCATAGAACTATAAGGAGCCAGAGAAATAACGCAATGTTTCCTGAAATGAGAATTGCATACCGGTCCCAGTTGGAGAGGAGGCTGCGTGAACTTCACACAGAGCTTTAAATAACCTTGAATAACACAGTGAGAAAGTCATTCCTTTTTCTGACTGCAGTCAAGGAGAGGGGCTCGGCTGGGGGCCTGAATATCTTTCATGCCTAACCCTTTGGTACTCCTTGTTTTTAATGAGGAAAGCAGGCCTGGGGCCCAGAATGTGGGGCCGGCAATAGCACCCAGCCAGAGGTAAATACCTTTATTTGCTGTTCATTGTATCTGGCCTCTGTAGCTTCTTTCTCTCTCTTTGTGACAAATGGAACTGGATTTCCATGTAGGGTCACCATACATAAATTTTTTTCTTCCTAAATAAATTACAATCCTCCTTGGCTGCTGTGATTGGCAACCGAGTTTCAAAGAGCGAAGAGCTGAGAGTTGGGGAACAGGAATTCGGGCGAAAATGTTTCTAAATCTCCTTGATTCAGATAGAATTCAGAGAGCCCGGGAACCTGCATTTGCCTGAGTCCAGTGAGCCAATGTGAGGACCAAGTTTACAAAAATGCTAATGCAGGTGGCATGTGGATTTGGCAGAAGCAGTGGAGACACTAAAAAGAAGGGCCAAGGAGCAGCCAATATGGGAAGCAGTGTGGAGATTCCTTGGAAATCTGGGAATGGGACCACCATTTGACCCAGCTGTCCCTCTCCTCAGTCTGTACCCAAAGGACTTAAAAACAGCACACTACAGGGACACAGCCCCATCAATGTTTACAGCAGCTCAATTCACAATAGCTAAACTGTGGAGCCAACCAAGGTGCCCCTCAGTGGATGAATGGATAAAGAAAATGTGGCATTTATACACAATGGAATATCACTCAGCATTAAAAGAGAATAAAATCATGGCATTTGGAGTAAATGGATGGAGCTGGAGAAGATAATGCTAAGTGAAGTTAGCCAATCCCCAAAACACAAATGCTGAATGTTTTCTCTGACCTAAGGAGGCTGACTCTCAGTGGGGTAGGGAGGGGGAGCATGGGAGGAACAGATGAACTCTAGATAGGGCGGAGGGGTGGGAGGGGAAGGGAGAGGGTAGGGGATTAGCAAGGGCAGTGGAATGTGATGGACACCATTATCCAAAGTACATGTGTGAAGACTCAATTGGGTGTCAACCTACTTTATATATAAATAGATATGAAAAATTGTGGCACATATGTGTAATAAGAATTGTAATGCAAAAAAAGTACATGTATAAAGGCTTGGATTGGTGTGAACATACTCTATGTACAAAGATAGGAAAAATTGTGCTATATTATACATATAGATGTATAATAAGAACTGTAATGCATTCCACTGTCATGTATTAAAAAATAAAATGAAATCAATAAACTAAAAAAAGAAGAAGAAGAAGGGCCAAGGGATCCATGCACAGGACACAGGAACAGAAAACCCCAGGCCCTTTGCTGCACATGGAGAACTTACGTCTCCACTCCCGAGTCTAACCCCAGCAACCTTCCAGGCCTCAGTTATCTGAACCTCCTCCTTGGAATCCCTTGTTGCTCTCCAGCTGCTTCCCATGAGCAAGGAATGTTCCAGAGCCCACACTGTCGAAGGCAGTAGCCCTATTCACATGGGGTTCTTTCCATTCACGAACTCCTTATAGTCTAATAAACTAAAATTAGATCAAAGCAAAACTTGAGTGCCCCAGTCGCACCAGCCAAATTTCAAGGGCTCCCATGCGGACAGTGGCTGCCATCTTGGATGTGGACAGAGAACATTTCTACAGGAAATTAGAAGCTGCTCTTGCCAAAGGCACTAACTCTTCACTGGAGCCTGCAGATGTCCAATGGGTAACTAAAAGCAGGACGAAGCTTGGCATTTTGTATCTGTCTCTTGATTACGTAAACTTTGGGTCGGATTCCGGCTTAGCTCTGCATGTAGGCACGTCAATCACTTAAGGGTTGTCTGGCAATACAAGGTCTGCGAGTCCTAAATTTACCTAACCTCTCTCATTTCCCTTCAAGACAGACAACACCAAGATAAGAGTAACTAGGTATTCTGAAGATTTGCAGGGACACTCAACTGCCAGCTTTCACAAGGTCCTATTCCAGACCTGGAGGAGCACCTAGAAGTCCCCAGTCATTGCCCTAAACCTACCATCACCTTGGATTCCAGGACAGCAGAAACTCCCACACAGATCGTCCCATGATGAGATCACCCCTGTAAGTGGGAGCAATTACCCCCTGACAGGTACTGAGATGGCCCCTCTTAACAGGAGCAATAATTTCATGGGAACTGATTGCCCCTTAATCTCCAGCGATAAGGACTTCGCTGGAGTCACCTTGCAGAACCAGATCTGAGATAATGATCAACCAGACAATAGTTTGACCAGGACTCTTTAATTAGGCTCCCCCTCCACCCTAGTTCTTCCTCTGTTTAAACCTAAAGCTCACATCAGTGTCTCCAAAACATGACTGAGTCTCTCCGTCTCACGGGCCTCCCCCATATGGCCCGCCATATTGATTAAAGTTCCTTCCCAGCTTTTCACCATTACTTTTTCTGTTTGATTTTTGGTGCAAGTGGCTAGCCCCGATTTGTTGGGAACCCAGAGTCAGGCTGGTGTCCTAGACCAACATTCATATTTCTGCTACCTCAGAAAGCTCCGGTGGACAGTGCTAGTAGATATCCCCTCTGCCAGCTTCCCGTCTACCTGAGTGTGACCCCTGACACAATGGCCCCTATTCAGGTCTCATCTGACTGCAGTTCAGGTGGCTCTGGCCACAGTTGAAAGACTCTGATTCTGAAAAACCTTTACTTTGGCAGAATCCCCGACTCCCATCCTCTTTGTCCCCTGCTGCTCTGTCCCAGCCTCGTTTGTGGCCTCTCTTTATCCCCCTGAGTGCAAGCGTTCCCCAGAGCAAAGGCCACGCTGGTCTCAAATTTGATGCTCACAGGATCCAGGCAAGTACGTCAATAGAAAGAAGCTTTGTTAGAAATGAATGTGCTAGAGGCAGTGGGAATTTGAAGCAGCATGATTGTCTTGGACATTCAGAGACAGAGTGTTGGGTTTGGGTTGTTTTTTGTTGTTGTTGTTATTTTATTTTTTGGGTTTTGTTTTTTGTTTGCTTGCTTTTTAGTGCTGGGGATGGAACCCAGGGTCTCATGCAAGCTAAGCACACACTCTACCACTGAGCTGTGTACTCCCAACCCAGACACAGGTTTTTAAACTCTCCCATGCAGGGGCTGGGGATGTGGCTCAAGCGGTAGCGCGCTCGCCTGGCATGTGTGCGGCCCGGGTTCGATCCTCAGCACCACATAC